CTCAGCTGTGTGAAACTGACATCCCACTCACGTCAAAAAATCCAGCAAATAGTCTGAATGGTTAGTGCTCCGTTTGTGCAGGTTTGTGCAGTTAAAACTGTCGTTTGTGCAACTTTCGTTTTCGAGATATCAAAAGTTATAATTTTGGCCGATGACGTCATCAGCCGCCCCCATTTTGCTCCAAACATGAAAATTTTTGCTTTACCGATGTTACGTCGCCTCCACTAACTGGTATGTAATGTGGACCACAATGTCACCTAAGGATTATGTTATACAAATGACTAGATCTGATTTTACTTTATTTGGTGCTTTCAGAGTTTAAGATTTAAGTATAACTATCCCCTAATTATACCCAATTAGGGGACAATTAATTTCAGCTGCTGCAGGCTGTACTTTCTGTTTTAGTTCTTGTTGGTTGTCTTCCAGCACATTCCAGTCTTGTTTTCGGTGTCGTTTTTTTGCAGTTGAGGTTGGTATATTTTTGTAGAAAAGGTATTATAAATCATGTATACAGTTATAGTAAGACAATATTTCTGGTAATTGTCTTTTTGTTTTTTTTTTTAAACTTAGATTTTTATTAATTTTAATTTTTCAGCAGAGGAAAGTACAACCATACTTCAGTGGTTCATAATACAAATGTTGACAATATGAAGTTTTCCATACAATAAACATCTTGGAATCGGGATGAGACGTAGAGGAGAAAAGATAAAGGANTCCCCTAATTATACCCAATTAGGGGACAATTAATTTCAGCTGCTGCAGGCTGTACTTTCTGTTTTAGTTCTTGTTGGTTGTCTTCCAGCACATTCCAGTCTTGTTTTCGGTGTCGTTTTTTTGCAGTTGAGGTTGGTATATTTTTGTAGAAAAGGTATTATAAATCATGTATACAGTTATAGTAAGACAATATTTCTGGTAATTGTCTTTTTGTTTTTTTTTTTAACAGATTTTTATTAATTTTAATTTTTCAGCAGAGGAAAGTACAACCATACTTCAATGGTACATAATACAAATGTTGACAATATGAAGTTTTCCATACAACAAACATCTTGGAATAACAACTTGCAGCCACAGCATCATGTTTATAGACTCATCATTGTACACCATCTAAATAAGAATGAACTCTGGAAGAGATAACCAATCGACATGGGCCAAAAGACAAATCCATTAGGTTTAACTAAACCAACAGGGCCGCTGCAGGTCCCCAGCACAGGCCATACTTAGATTTTTGAAGTCTTAGTGAGTGGTTATCTTTTCCATTGTATGCAATTCCCTTACTTTTTGGACCCATAAGTCGTAAGAAGGCGGCTCTAATTGCATCCACCTAATTGTATTGCATTTCAGGGCTGCTGTAAAAAGAACATTTAACAAATACATTTTGGCCCTCCCTTGTAAACCATCAGGAAGAATACCGAGTAAGGCAACAGTAACATCCCAGAAAACCCTGGAAAAAATATGGTTTATAGCTCTACACACCTCATCCCAAAAGGTTTTGAGTTTGGGGCAGGACCAAAAAACGTGCGTGGTTGGGAATCATTGAGCCACAATTTCTCCAACACGAGCTTGGTACCTTAGGATCCACTTTAGCAACTACATCAGGGGTCCTGAAATATCTGCTAATAATTTTCCATTTAAATTCCCTCCATGTATTTGGGTTAGTAACTCGGTGAGCCTCGG